GATACTTTCACCTTTCCAACAAGCAGCCTATGCCAAGAGCTCCAATAATGCAATTACTGTGACCTGGCTTAGAATGGATGTAAAAGGAAAGTCAGTAGAAACCACCATCTGTAACCATACAACTTCCTGGAAATTGGGACTTCTCTTCCATGGGAGATCTGGTAAGGTAAAAAATGTGTTTTTCTTGCAAATCAGAAAAAAATAATCAACATTTCCCAGAATGCCCCAGAGGACAGCATCTTCCAAAAGAAAAAAAAGCAGAAAAATATCAGCTCCACTTAATTACTTTTGAGAGTTTAGGTAGCTGTCCAGAATTGACACCCAAAAGGGAATTTTGAAAGTAATGGTTAGGATTATTTTGAGTGAAATTGACTCCTACTGTTGGGCAATTTGAAGCTAGTTGAGGCAACGTGGTTTTCATACAAAAAAACAGAAGCAAGGAGAAGTCTGCGTTGAGGTGAAAGGCAGAGAGGTGGCACAATCTCCTTCCTTGGAGGTTCTTAAGACTGGGCTAGACCAAGCCAAGGTTGGCATGACCCAACTGGCATGACCCAACTGGAGACAGTCTCTTTGACTGCAAGTATAGGGATTTGTCTGACCCAGAGTGGTGGGGCAAGACTCCCTAGCTCATGATCTTGGGGCTTTAGTTTGAGCAGGAGCTTCAGCATTTCATTCAGAATCCCCAACCTTGATTTCAGCCAACACCCGATGCTGGACTAGATGACGCCCTGAAGTCCCATCCATCCCTAATTTGCTCTGCTTCTATTATTGTATGAGCGGAGTGGTGTTGTAAAACTCTGAGGGATGTTTTTCCTGGAGCTAACATTGCTCTAAACAAATGACTAATCTTAGGGTCATAGAAAATAAGGGTTGGAACAGACCTCAGGAGATCACCTTGTCCAACACACTCCTCAAAGCAGGGCTGCTCTAAACTTGATCATGTCACTCAAGGCTTTGTCTATGTGGGTGTTCAAAACCTCCAAGGATGGAGCTTCCACCACCTCTCTGGGTAGCCTGTT